GTGTGTGAGAGAGAGAGAGAGAGAGAGAGAGAGAGAGAGAGAGAGAGAGAGAGAGAGAGAGAGAGAGAGAGCAAAGAACATAATTTATCATTGTCCGTGTCATATAGCCTTGAAGCAAGAACTTCTGTGCCGGGGCTATCCCCTGGCACTACTACTACAACGCCCCCTGGCACGGTTTGCTAAGGGCAGCAAGTCGGGTTGCTATATGAGGGCTTGGGACGTGGCGGAGGCTACATGAGGGCTTGGGATGTTGGCACGTAGGGATCACAAGCAGACAGGTGTACAGTATGTATATAAAGGAAAAAAAAGCAGGAAATGCTACTGTTGTAAATTACTATTACTATACATTAATAAATAAATAAATAAGTTACTATTACTTATTGTGTACGATCGTAGGATCTTACAGGCCTTTAACTGTACGGACGTTGTCGCATGCTGCCATGCTCTTTGTTCCGCCCACATCAGCTGTAGCTAACGGGATTGACGATTCTATGATCGCAGCTGGTAAAGTACTTCAGAGGCCTGATCTCGCTACGGTAGTCGAATCCGTTTTGTTTCGTCGATTTTTTTATTTTTATTTTTTTATTTATCTAAATTGTACCATTTCTCGATTTATGCGTGTCATCCTTGCGCAGGGCCCATTTGCTAATCTTCTTTCTCTCTGTGTCGTTCCAATCCTTTTAACGGATCTGCCGAAGGACTTCGTCGATAATTCTCGGAGGCTCCTATTTTACGAGGGTCCTATTTTCGGAAATTGATAGCCCGAATAGAACGAGATCGGCTATTAAGTAACTCCTACGAGGGTACCATACCATTTTCGCTTTCGAATTTCCTCTTTATCCCTGGTACTATCGGATAGTCAGTCGTCTGCTATCGGAATTCCAATACTACCAGGAATTTCAATTTCAAGACGACTATCCCTGGTACTACCAGGGTTAAAGGAAATTCCACTCTGCGAGACACTTTGCAATGGAAAATGGAATTCCCTGGTTGTCTGCGACGCTATTTGTAGTACCCGCGCATCTACTATTTGTAGTGTTCAGAAATTGGCGATAGGAATGACTTACGCCAAAAAAGTTTGTTAGGAGTCGGAACTCGAAAATTCGAAATTTCGTGGGACATACTGGCGATAGCTAAGTGACTTACGCAGTATCCCGAGGCACTCTCAGTGTGTGTGTGTGTGAGAGTGTGTGTGTGTGTGTGTGTGTGTGTGTGTGTGTGTGTGTGAGAGAGAGAGAGAGAGAGAGAGAGAGAGAGAGAGAG